TGTTGGCAGATGCTGTCACACCCTGGCTCGGGGACTCAATATGTTGAGCCAGGGTGTGTTCATTCTATGTTTTCTGTTTCTCTGGTGGGTGTTCTAGGTTGGTTATTTTCTATGTTTGCCGGTGTGACTCCCAATCAGAGGCAAACGAGTGTCAGCTGTCGGCTGTTTGTCTCTGATTGGGAGCCATATTTAATCTGTCTGTTTTTCTTTCGGGTTGTGGGATTTTGTTCGTGTGGTTTTGTGTTGTACCATAGACGTCACGCATTCGTTGTTTTATTGTTTTGTATTTTGAGTGTGGTGCTTTACTATTAAAGTAAATATGTTCGCTCGCAACGCTGCGCCTTGGTCTCCCTCATTAGACGATCGTGACAGAAAATCCCACCAAGACCAGACCAAGCAGCGTGTCCAGGAGCCATCGCTTATAGATCTCCGTGGCAGCTTCGACTGGGTCAAGCCCATTGAGGAGCTGAGTGAAGAGGGTTGGAGACAGAGGAGCGAGAGGTGGGAGAGAATGTTGGAGGCCTGGTCCACAGGGAGGAGAGACCCCCAGAAAATTTTTAGGGGGGGGCTCACGACGTCGGGGCAGCAGGAGGCCGCTATGGAGCGGTCCAGCGGGGTTGCAGAGGAGGCCGCCAGGTTACGGGGGCCACTGGTAGAAGAGGGGATGGAAGGTGTAGAGGCACGGCGAGAGGTACTGGCGTGTGTTGCCAGCCCAGTCCGGCCCATCCAAGCTTCTCGCATAAAGCCTACGGTGTGCGTCGCCAGCCCAGCCCGGCCTGTCCCTGCTCCACGCACAAAGCCTACGGGGTGCGTCGCCAGCCCAGCCCGGCCTGTCCCTGCTCCACGCACAAAACCAGGGGTGCGAGTCGCCAGCCTGGTCCAGCCTGTTCCTGCCACTCGCACCAAGCCAGGAGTGCGAGTCGCCAGCCTGGTCCAACCCGTTCCTGCTACTCGCACCAAGCCAGGGGTGCGAGTCGCCAGCCTGGTCCAACCCGTTCCTGCTACTCGCACCAAGCCAGGGGTGCGAGTCGTCAGCCTGGTTCAGCCCGTTCCTGCTACTCGCACCAAGCCAGGGGTGCGAGTCGTCAGCCTGGTTCAGCCCGTTCCTGCTACTCGCACCAAGCCAGGGGTACGAGTCGTCAGCCTGGTCCAGCCCGTTCCTGCTACTCGCACCAAGCCAGGGATGCGAGTCGTCAGCCCTGTCCGGCTCGTTCCTGCTCTCCGCACCAAGTCTGTGGTGCGCGTCGCCAGCCCATTCCGGTCCATTCCTGCTCCACGCACCAAGCCAGGGGTGTGTATCGTCAGCCCGGTCCGATCCGTTCCTGTTCCACGCACCAGGCCAGGGGTGCGTGTCGTCAGTCCGGCTCCGGCCAGCGGGGCTAGACAGGACCAGGGGTACTTGGGGGGGTTGGAGAGGAAGTGGGGATCTAGCCCAGAGCCGGAGCCGCCGCCGAGGAATGCCCACCCAGCCCTCCCCTGTTTTCGCTCGTATTTAGGCGCGGTCGCAGTCCGCGCCTTTAGGGGGGGGGTACTGTCACACCCTGGCTCGGGGACTCAATATGTTGAGCCAGGGTGTGTTCATTCTATGTTTTCTGTTTCTCTGGTGGGTGTTCTAGGTTGGTTATTTTCTATGTTTGCCGGTGTGACTCCCAATCAGAGGCAAACGAGTGTCAGCTGTCGGCTGTTTGTCTCTGATTGGGAGCCATATTTAATCTGTCTGTTTTTCTTTCGGGTTGTGGGATTTTGTTCGTGTGGTTTTGTGTTGTACCATAGACGTCACGCATTCGTTGTTTTATTGTTCCTTGGTCTCCCTCATTAGACGATCGTGACAGATGCTTTGTCTCGTGTTTAATGATCTAGGTTTTTTTTGTTATCCCGGCAGGATGATTTGTGAATTTTGGATGTTGTGATGGTACGTGTGTCGCAAACCATTGTGGTTTGCTCTTTTAAGGGTGGGAGTGTTACGGATACAGGTATCCTGTGTCTTTTTGTGTTTTTTCTCTCCTTCTGCCCTAATCACAGGTGTCCTGTATGTTCCTGATTGGTGATCGTTGAGGTGTCTGCTGATTGCTAAGGTGGACCAATCAGTGAACATTCCTCTGCATTGCACCACCTGTTTCTCGTTTTTTCAATCACACATCCCATTGTATAAAAACCAGTCACTTGTGTTTGTTGTTAGAGAGAGACTATTTCCGTATGTGAGTATGGACACTGTGGTGTCCTGTTTTTGTTTACTCACTAAGTTGCTGGTTACTCTGGTTGGTAATTTTGTTAGACTACTTTTTTGTATGTGAGTAATGGATACTGTGATGTCCTGTGTTTAGAGTACTCATTAATTTGCTGGTTACTCTGTTTGGTAACTTTGTGTGTTGATGGGAAAAGGGGAAGTTAAGCAAGCTGCCCTTGGGCATACATTTCCCGTAGAAAGAACTGTCTATAAACACTAGTTAGACCTGAGCGGACCACCCACTGTATTTTTGTATGAGTAGCAGTAGCCTAGCGGTTCTTGAGGCAGGCAAGATCAGTTTAGGGGTGTTTTACACTATTGTTTCATTTCTTGGGTCCTGCTCAGCCCTTTTTCCCAAACCTTTACCGTGTGTTCGGCAATAAACCTTTTATGTTTGACGGTAGTTTATGGTTGTCGTGTAGTTTTTCGTTCTCACTGTTCCATGCCACACTTATAATTTGCATGAATTATGTTACGGGTCTCATGTCATCACCCTAGACGTTTAAAGCCACGGGGTTCGTAACAGACACATTTGCACATCCGTTTTTCTGCAGGTGGTAGTGAAGTTGCCCCTATAGGCACAGCTCTAGGATCAGCTTATACCTTACCAAATTCTAACTGGAAGCCTTAGTGGAAATATACAAAACTGACCTTAGATCAGTGTCAACACAGGCGTGTATGGTCACATGACTTATGACATCACACAGGTTTTTTCTTCCCACCTATTGTGTGAGGGAGGGGTGTGTACCCTACCTCTTCAGTTGACTGTAGCCAGCAGATCGACCAGTTTGCTTACAGATGCACTAGGGTCGAACAGGCTTACTGTGTAGATTAAGATACCGCGAAGCTGGTGTGAGATATGCCTCGGAAAAAACATACCTCAATCCAGGGATGAGAAATGCGTTGTACTCTGAATTGTCCGTTTATCCCAACTGTTACACCGGGTAATATTGAACAACTGCTAGTTAAGTAAACTGCAATTTTCGTCCTCATGCTAGCTAGCAGTAGTTATAGCAGCCATTATGGAATGGCACGTCGTGTTGATTAATTAAAGGAGCTGATTGGCTGACACTGCCATTCCAAAATGGCTGCTGTGGCTTCTGCTACCTAGCATGAGGACAAATTGACATTTTTCTATCTTAAATCTTCTCGGTAAAACAGTTGGGATAATGGGACAATTCAGAGTGCAGTGCATTTCTCATCCCTGGATTGAGGTACATTTTCTGAGACATATCTCGCGCTGGCTCTGCTGAGTCTTAATCTATACAGTAAGCCTGTCTGAACTTAGTGCAGCTATAAGCAAGCGAGTCGGATCTGCTGGCTACAGTTGACTTAAGTTGCACAGACAAAAGGAATACACAAACGCTTGAATCAGCATTCAGTGCTCTTCATACATCGCAGATAGATTATTGTTGGAAGGTTTTGTGTAAATTAACATGAGTTTCAAGCTACATTGGCTGAATCTTATCTTTTTATTGGCCTGCGCCGAGCTCTGTCTGTCTCAGAAAAATGGTGAGAGAAAGCATTTTCCCCTCTATTTCTCTCATTATTTATGTATTTTTTTCTTCAAATCAGATAAACGACATTGTGATATTATTTAATGCTTTGATGGACAATTTATTGAGTCGGATCCCCTCTGATTCCTAAATGAATACAGATATTGTAAAATACTCCTGCTTGTCATGTTGAGATGGTATTTCCTATGTCGGTGTGGTTACAAACCTCAAGACAGCAATGAGTCATGATGTCATCATTCCACATGTCAATGGCATGCTGATCTTCCCAAAATCGAGATGGTTAAGGGGAAATGACCACCTGAAGGGTATATTACAAAGGAGGAGCAATGAGTTAGCCAGCTAACTTTTATAAACAACCAGAAATAACTATTTATTGTCTGATTAATAAAGAAAGCTAAACTTAAATATGCGTTTTTGGTTGTTGAGTTAAGGCCAGGCACCACACCATCAAAAGGTAATTGTTTCCCCTTAATCATATCACAATCAACGTTTACCAGTTGAATGTAAACACTAATATAATACTTTTTAGTATTAAAATGTTAATGAAATATTGTATTAAAATAGGCGAATTAGGCTATTTGTCATTAAATATGCGCCGATTTGCATATTGCGCAAATACATTTTTCTGGACACTGGATGAAGTCTGCCTAAATACTTTGGATTCATTTTTTTAAGACACTCCATGACTTGTGTAGAGCAGATTGTGGATAAATACTTTATGAATCTTTCTGTCTGTAAAATACTAAAGACGTACGTAAAATCCATTTTTGGTGCATTTTTCCTAAGAAAATGTTATCTAGAATACAAAATGGACAACATATCAACAATTCTATGTGGGCAAGTCTGGAGAATACATCTAAGGTTAACCACACAAAATGTGGTGAAAGCAGATGCTTCTGAAGCGGAGAACAATGAGTTGGGGTGTGGAAAGAGTCTGGCTTTCAGGAAATGGCAGCTACAGACATGTACACTGAATTTAGATTACCAAACAAGAAACACCTATTTAGACCCAATCACATCAAAGTAAGTAACTAAATATGTTCGAGTTTGTAACACTATGAAATGGGCTTTTAAATTGTGTAATTTAATGTAGTGAGCTTTGAAATTATTGATGTATGTCCATTTTAAAGTGGTTCAACTTCATTGAAATGTTGATGACAGTCGTATGATAAATATACATTTGTCAAGTTTTTTTTATTTTTTATGTTTACACTTGAAAATACTAATATTAATGGACCGAAATACTAACAACAGGTAGATGCAAACATTTTATTTTAGCCTGTGGTGCATGGCCTTAAGTAGACCATGCCGATTTTAAGTTTATCCTTCTAAAAGTCTCCCGAGTGGCGCAGTGGTCTAAGGCGCTGCATCGCAGTGCTAGCTGTGCCACTAGAGATCCTGGTTCGAATCCAGGCTCTGTCGTAGCCGGCCACGACCGGGAGACCCATGGGGCGGCGCACAATTTGCCCAGCGTCGTCCAGGGTAGGGGAGGGAATGGCCGGCAGGGATGTAGCTCAGTTGGGAGAGCATGGCGTTTGCAACGCCAGGGTTGTGGGTTTGATTCCCATGGGGGGCCAGTATAAAAAAAATTAAATGTAAGTCGCTCTGGATAAGAGCGTCTGCTAAATGACTAAAATGTAAATGTAATGTAAAAAAGTAAAAGTTTATTCATATCACAAGCTTTCAGCATGAGTTACAGACTTGCAGGGTCTGGAGAAACAGCGTCCCAAACATAATCTGCCTGTTTCTGACCCCCTCTTTGTCTAGCCCATATTTATAAACAATGCCAAAATATGGGTTGCTCCCTCTGCCGTCCAATCACCTGTCTCCCCTGGGGCGTCACCCTACAACTGGCTACTTTTGAACTAAGATAAACATTCACTCTTTGTTCCTCTAGAATAGTCATAATCTTCATACACGACATTCTCAATTGTCATACTTGAGTAAAAGTAAAGATACCTTAATAAAAATTACAAGTAAAAGTCACCAAGTACAATACTACCTGAGTAAAAGTATATGGTTCTAAATGTACTTAAGTACAGTGGTGGAAAACATACAAAATGTTCATACTTGAGTTAAAGTGCAAAGTAAAAGCAAATGCAATCAAATTCCTTATCCTAAGCAAACCAGACAGTACAATAAAAAAATTTACACACTCCAGAACTCAGACATCATTTACAAATACAGTATTTGAGTTTAGTGAGTATGCCAGATCAGAGGCAGTAGGGATGACAACGCATTATAGGTGTGTGAATTGGACCATGATTCTGTCCTGCCTCAACATAAAACATTTTTATGACTACTTTTTGGTGTCAGGGTAAATGTATAATTGTCATAAATGTAAGTAGTAAAGTACAGATACCTAAAAAAGAAAACCGACATAAGTAGTACTTTAAAGTATTTTTACTTAAGTACTTTACACCACTGCATAAGAACAATAGAAAAGTTATAATTGAAGTATGCAATAAATCACAAATGGCTATTGTATTCAAATGGCATACATTCTAACCCCATTGTTAGAAGTCCTTAAACAGCCGTGTTTATACTCACCTCTCCTCTCTTTCTCAGAGCGGTTTGATGCTGACGTTGAAGACCGAGGATTCACGGGGGACGAGACAGCGATGGGGGTGCAGATCTCCCTGGACGCCCGCATGGTTCTGGACAGTCATCTGACCACTGTGTTCTTCCCCATTGTCTACATAGTGGTGTTTGTTGTGGGGCTGCCCACCAACGCCATAGCCATCTGGGTCTTCCTGTTCAGGACCAAGAAGAAGCACCATGCCGCCATCTACATGGCCAACCTGTCTCTGTCCGACCTGCTGTTTGTCATCTGGACGCCCCTGAAGATCGCCTACCACCTCAACGGCAACAACTGGATCTATGGAGAGAGGCTGTGTAAAGTCCTGGTGGGCTTCTTCTACGGGAACATGTACTGCTCCATCCTCTTCATCACCTGTATCAGTGTCCAGCGCTACTGGGCTATTGTTCACCCCCTCTCCCAGAATTGTAGGAATAATCAGGTAGCCATCGGTATCTCGGTCGCAGTCTGGGTGGGGGTCTGGCTTCTGACCACCCCTCTCTACCTCTACGACCAGACAGTCAAGGTGACCAACCTCAACATCACCACCTGCCACGACGTCACCCGGCCCAGCCAGAATAGCATGGCCGTCGGCTACTTCATGACCATGGGAACCCTGGGATTTGTAGTTCCCACCGTGGTGTGCGTGGTGGCCAATGTTCTGATGCTCAAGTCCCTGAGGAACTCCATGACGGACGCCAGCATCACCAATAATCGGCGCAAGGCTGTGGTGCTCATCATCACTGTGCTGGTCATCTTCCTGGTCTGTTTCACCCCCAGTAACATCATGATGCTGGTGACCTACTCCCTCCTGCTGGTTCGAGTAGAGCACAATGACTATGGCTTTTACATCACCACCCTGTGTCTGGCCAGCCTCAACAGCTGTGTGGATCCCTTCATCTACTACTTCATCTCAGATGAGTTCAGGGAGCAAGTGAAGAATACGCTGAGATGCCGCAGCCAGAGGACATGATTAGGATGATAGTCTCGTTCAGTGCTCTGAAGTACTTCAAGAAGAGCAGCACCTACCAGGGTTGGGGTCAATTCCATTTCAATTCCAGTCAATTCAGTAAATACTGATTAGGAAAATGTGGAATTGGATTGGTTGATTTTGTTTACTTTCTGAATTGTATGGCATTAAAATGGAATTGACTCCAACCTTGGCACCTACACCTCAAACTCAGGGAACACACAGAGCAGCTCCTGTTAGGGGGGTTGTCATGTGGAGATGGAAGTTGGCTGTACTGATGTTTTTAAAGAACTGGACGGATTAAAGGCAATACCGGGTTGCTCTCAATCTACTATGTTTCTTTCACCTGACATTTTGTTTTCATCAGTATCAATGGAGAGAAAGCCATTTTAAACTGAGATGCAACCCCAGACTACTTCAGACTATGTGCTTGTTGCATTGCCCCCTCTCCCCTCATACAATTTTAGTGCAGATTTTGTTGGTTTTATCTAGAAGACAAAATGTGATCCATCCCCCACATTTAGACAGTCAGAGATGTATCCATTAAGTTTGTTCCAGCACTGAGCTCTCTGAAACTGTAAACTTAGTTCTCAGTGCCCAGCACTGACCCTACACTTCTGGTAATGGGTACTGTTCTTTATCAAGGGAGCCATTCTTGACCTACTGTACAGTGCCTAGTGAAAGTCTACACACCCCTTGCACAGTTGTCATTTTGCTGCAATTAAATAAAAAATAAAAATATGAAATAATAAAGGTAAAACTTTTTACTTGGGCTTTGTTTCTTTCATATTTATTTTTATCCTGACAAACTCCCCATTCCCTTCTGGTGACAAGCATACTCATGACACAATGCTGCCTCCACATTACTTGAAAATACAGAGGGTAAACATGAAGTCCAGTCATACATAAAATTGTGAATAATTAGATTTATTTAGAAATAGGTCTATCCCCCAATAAGATTTACATTGAATCAACTGCGATTTGTCTGACCAAACAGGTTAGAGCATGTAAATTCAGACACTCGAAACCATGTCGAGGGACCATGTGTAGACCCCCAAGAATGTGTGCACAATCAGAATGTGGACATGATCAGGACGCATGTGAGAGAGAGAGAGAGAGAGAGAGAGAGAGAGAGGCCACGCAGGTAACCTGATTCCGTCAGTCTCTTGTTTTTAGGGTGTGTCCGTCTGTTTATGTAATAGAGAATGTATCGGACATCGGAGTAAGTTAACTACCATCTCGACCGCGGGAGGACGAAGACAATTCATAGACACCGACCATTTATACTGTACAAAGTTCAAGGACAATGGCCTCATCTCAAATACTTTCCTGCTTATTGTTGTTCGGTTGCGTGTGTGCAGCAAATGCAATTGGTAAGATTTACCTTTTATAGTTGATCTCATGCCTTTGTCAGTATCCTACCTATAGACACATTGTATTATCTTGAGTTAGCGTACTTGTACTGGGGTAAATACATTTGAATTCAATACACTTTTTGACAGCATCCCTTTTGATTTAAACAACTTTCCATACGTCTTTGCCCATGGAAGAAGTGGTCAGAATGTGACTTTTTGGACCTGAATGCTAAAACATTCAGGAGATAAAGTATTTATATACACCAGCGTTTCTTTCAATTGGGTTGCACAAAAATAGTCCATGGGAAGCCAGAAGTTAAATACAATTCCATTTCAATTTACTGTGTCGGTGGGCAGGAAGGTTGGTCATTATGACGGGTGGAATTTGAGATAAAATATCTAAAGGATCGTATTATTAAACAGATCTTCAAACGTGGGTCTGTTGTAGACGTACTTCTCTGCTTACCTCATGTCAAAATAAAAGTTATTCCTTTTTTATCCACATGTGGTGCACGTGCAGGACTTTTATTTTGATATTTAGGTAAACCTACTTTAATCTATTACCTATATTTCTATGATTTCAATAGGTTTCCTATGGAGGATTGACAGTATAATTTAAAACAACAGATATTCCCATTCAAGTCAACATTCTCAGATGTGTGGACCTCCAACAATCGTTGAAAGTTGAAACATCAATTTTATTCCCATTTTAGTACATTTATCAGCCAAAACATTACACCCACCCTCTATTCGAGCAACCGATGGTGGACACAACACAAAAACCTCAGATTATGTAAAATAGAGTCTACAAACTACAACATATGCGAAAATTGTTATGAATTGTTTTTATCGAGGAATGTTTAAATAGTTTGACAACCCAATTTGTAAGCTTTTAAATGGGATCAATCTCAAACGTTTATCTTTTCCACTGATGAAGACATGGATGTCTAATGGTATGGTGGGGTATGCAAAATAAGTCAACTTTGAGCACCTTTACCTCTTGAATATTTTGGGGTGCTGTCAAAAAGTGATTGAATTCAAATGGATTTACCCACTGGTTAGTCGCATCAATGACTCTGTCTTATCATTTAACATAAAAAGAAGTATGGTGCAGCTGTTTATTGTAGGTGTCAATGTTTTTTCACCTGCCTGGAATATGTATTTTGTGTGTTTTTAGAATGAGTAGCCTAGTTAGAACATGACCCTGTTTGTGATAATCAGACCAATGAATAAGAGAGGGAAATTCAAGTTAATAGCCTCATAATTCAACTATATTTGGATCATTTATTTTTATCATGTCATTTTTTAACAATACAATTTCTGTTACATGTTTAAACTCAAAGAACTCTGCTCAAGATGATTATGTTAAATGTAGCTTATTTATAGTAGCTTATTGTATGTTGGGAATCGCCAACACACTGTCCAATATTACAGATCTTTATCAGTGATGTTTCTCTCCTGTTTCTTATCACAGGTATAGGACGTGCGTTCATCGGGGTGGTCGACCCTCAGGATGCCGACCGCGTCACGGTGGACAAGGCAACCGCGGAAACGCTGCGGAGCAGTCTGACCACGGTGTTCCTCCCCATTGTCTACATAGTGGTGTTTGCTGTGGGGCTGCCCACCAACGCCATGGCCATCTGGGTCTTCCTGTTCAGGACCAAGAAGAAGCACCCTGCCGCCATCTACATGGCCAACCTGGCTCTGTCCGACCTGCTGTTTGTCATCTGGACGCCCCTGAAGATCGCCTACCACTTCAACGGCAATGACTGGATCTATGGAGAGAGGCTGTGTAAAGTGCTGGTGGGCTTCTTCTACGGGAACATGTACTGCTCCATCCTTTTTATCACCTGTCTGAGTGTGCAGCGCTACTGGGTGGTGGCTCATCCTCTGTCCCACCAGAAGAAGAACAGCAAAATGGCCATCACTGTCTCCGTCTCTATTTGGGCCTTCATCTGGCTCACCACCACCCCCCTGTACCTCTACGACCACACGGCCAAGCTCATGGACCTCAACATCACCACCTGCCATGACGTCAACATCATTCATGACCTGGAGAACCCCTTCCCTGACGTAGCGCTCCCCTACTTCTACTTCGTCCTCATGGCCGGCATTGTCTTCCTAGTCCCCTCCCTGGTCATCATCTTGGCCTACATTCTCCTCCTCAAGGCCCTGGGGAACTCCATGACGGACGGGAACGCTGGGAAGAACCGTCAGAAAGCCGTGGTGCTGATCGTGACCGTGCTGGTCACCTTCCTGGTGTGTTTCGTCCCCAGTAACATCATGCTGGTCATCCACTACACCCTCCTCAAGGACGGGGTGATCAACAACGGCTACGGCTTCTACATCACCACCCTGTGTCTGGCCAGCCTCAACAGCTGTCTGGATCCCTTCATCTACTACTTTGTGTCTGAGGACTTCAGGGACCATGTGAAGAACACACTGCTGTGTAGAAGCAGCAGGACGGTGGAGAGGATGAGGGTCTCCTTCAGCTCCATGAAGTACTCCAAGAAGAGCAAGGCCTATGTGTCTGAGTCAGGGAACACACAGAGCAGTACCTGCTAATAGTGCATGGGAGCCATTCGGCCGACTAGGTAAAGACACTGGGAGAGGCTCATTGAAAATACAATATTTCTCTGTATGTATGTGGACTGTGATGCACTGGAACTGGCTGAATGTGCCTTATGAAAATAAAGAGACTAGAGGGATCTCTCCTATAACAGTTGGGATATAGACAGCATTGGCAAGAAATGGAACACGTTTTAAATTAGGCCTGGACACTGCTGAGCTCCAGAGTAGTGAAAATGGCTGACAATATCGTGGACTTGCTACTTCTTTTGTGATTTTCATAGACATATCTCTCATGGATGAAATGAAAGCAGAATGTATTTATCACAATTCTTGATAGGCTGTTAAAGGGCTAATGCGAAAGATGTAAAGATCTAGTTAGATATTCTAAATTTGAAGATCAAGAGGTCAAACATCAATGCATATTGGACATGATGTTGCCTAGCACATGGTTAACAACATGTTTTATGAAATCCCCAAATATAGACTCTTACATTGTGCCTTATAGTGCTAGTGTAAAGGAACTCAAATGTCATGCCTTTAGATGAAAAGTATCATGATGATGAGTTACCCATATTGTAGAGGGGCGGTGTTGGGGTCAAACTGGCTTTAAGTCTATGGTCTACATATCTTCACTGGTATATGCCTTTATACAGTGTAATATACTTTATATTTACCTCAGTGAGATTATATAGGGCAGTAGGCTGTAAACATTAACACTGCTATTTTTTTACTTTAGTGTCATTATGTTTTAAGCTCACGTGAATTTTTTAAGCCATGAAAAGTTATTTTTTGTTTTAAGTTTGTTGGTTTCTTAAATAAATGTTTGCAATATGATAAGCTAAAGGTGTTTGTTTCTATAGTTCTTATTGTTCTCTAATGTGTAACTTTTTGTCTGTTGCGTAATCCTTATCAATATTCCAATGCTCATAGTACTGGATAGACTGAATCACTCCTCTCACATGCCTGGTGGAAGATGACGTTACAAGAGTCATTGTCTGTGATCATGGTAAGGAATTAATTGAATGTGTCACGGTACCTTTCAGTATGACAACCTGAAGACTGTTTTCTGTTTCAGAACAGTTGACTGTTGTTGAAGGTCAATATATCAACACAACGTTGAAACTACAGGGATTTTTCAGTTTCTCATCTTTTAAAAAGAAGACTTGACTCTCTCGCTCTCTCTCTCTCTGTTTCAGTCAGCTGAGGTAGGCTAGGCTGAGGAATGTTTCAGAGTAATATCGAACTGTTGTGTTTCTGTTTCCATGGTGTCAGTGATTCCCACAGATAACTGGTCTCTGTGTAGGAACCCCTGGAGGGCAGGCAGGAACAAGCTCTGATTACTATACTGTGATTTACTCCTCTCTTTCCCTCAATAGGTAGATAGATATGAGTATTGGATAGAAAGGAGTATTTAGATTGAGGATTATAGAGTAAGCTGTGCAATGTTGAGCTGTGAAAATAGGTTTGTACTGTAGAAAAATCCTTGTGAGTAAAACTATGTCTACTGATTGAAAAGATGAGGATCTAGGGATAAGTCCATGTACCACCCACCCAGCTCACTCTCTAGCTCTGTGTTTACATACACCCCAATTTGTCCTGGTTGAACTAGACACTACAATAAATATACCCTACATTCTTTAGGGATCTGTGGGTTAGAACACTGTCCTCCGTTATCTATCCACCACCTTGCATGTGTTAAGAAACCTGCGTGAAACTAACTTTATATGATTCAGTTTTCCTGCATTTATGACCTTTGTAAAGTGCCTTTTCCCTCTGATATGTGTAAGTTAAAATGTAACAATGGACAGAAGATACCAGGGTTGTTTAGTGGAGAGACACTGGATCTTGTCTGTTATATGTAGATAAGGACCAGACCAGGTCAACCCAGTGATCTCCTGTAGACCAACACAATGACCCAAGTGTCGCCATTGTGTTATTCTAGCTATGTGGAGCCCTAGGCAGGTAATGACACAGACACACACACACACACACCCCAGCTAGCACATAACGTTCTGAGAACCATATGTTTCTTAGAGCTTGGTGAGAGCATGGTTGTCCTATGAATATTTTGCATACAACCTCCAAACAGCGTTCTGAGAACCATATGTTTCTTAGATGGGAATTTCAGTACTTCGGCATAACGTTTCCTACAGGTTTCCTCATTCTATTTAAAGTAATGTTCTCAAATTGTTCCAAGAACGTTAAGAAACAACGTTGTTCTGTGGGAATTTCAGTACTTCAGCGTAACGTTTTCTGCCATGTTTCATCATGGTTCTATTTCAATGTTCTCTGAACATTAAAGATGCATTATGCAGAAATTGCTCCGCCATTTCCTGCTTGCTAAAATTCTAATAGTTTGCCTAATTTCAGTTTGTGACAAAACAAGCAAGTAGAGTGTAGAGAATCATTGTACCATCTAAACCGCTGTGAAATATATTTTCCATAAAGAAAAATATTGTGTTTTCAGCTGTTTGAAGCTGTAGTACAAAACCAAAAGTAAAAGACGCAAAAAATGAAACTTAAGAACGGGAGGCACAGAAATAGTGCACATAAAACAGATCTGCCGCTTCATACACTTGCTTTCAATGAGAATGAAGCCCCGTTTCCACTGGCACTTAAAATTAGGGTCAAATTCGAGCTGGGTCGAGGGAAACCCGGGCCAGTGCAGCTCAGTTTCACAACTGGTGGCAGCTCTATTAGAATTTGGGCTGGTGACCACCAGCTGATCACTTCTGGATGCTGACACAACGTTTAGCTAGCTCATCTGGACTTGTTGCTGTTAGCTAGCACATGGACGAATTACCACCATAGCTGGGTCCTTCATACATTTTTGCAGTACACAACAAACTTTTATGAGAACAGTCAGCCCCGAATGCTAACTACCTAACGTTAGCTAGAAAATCAGAGTCGAAACAAGCTAGCTGGCTAACTAGCAGGAATTTTAGCTGGCCAGGTCATATTGACAGCTAGCTAGCTAGCTAGCTAGCTACATCATATCAAGCCTGTCGTCTGGTTTGCTTGGTTAGCTAGCTAGCTAACGTTAGCAAGCTAAATACATGGCTCTGAGTCTGGCTGGCACTAGCAGGAGTTTGGGGTAACGTTAGTTACAGTACAGTGAGGGTGAATTGAATTCTTAATCTTGCTAGCTCGCTAGCAACATAAGCGATGCCAGCTTCACAGTCACATATTGGCTACCTAGCAGCATGACATCATTTCTCATTTCTGGAGGCCAGCCCAACCCGGGTTGACTTCAAAGTGCCAATGGAAACAGGGTTGACAGATCTATAACACACATTTCTATGTGAATTTGGTCAGGTCTCCCAAAAAGCTACATATTGCAGCTTTAAGAAAACTTTGCATAGAAAACATTAGTAACGTATACTGTACATATTAAAAACATATACATTCCATTCTCAGTAGCTAGGTTTCCATCCAATTGGCGTTAGATTTTCATGCGAATATTCTAAAATCTGAAAAAGAAAATATGGGGATTTTCTCACCAGTGGTGTGTCCAACATACTGACTTGTTGCGGATAAAAAATCTATATGTGACGACGTAGTGCACACAAAATATACCTTAAGTTTTCATGTACCGAATAAAAATCTAATGTTCAATGTCTTTCCATCACATGTTCAACTCTAACGATAGTTTTGTCACAAAAACTGTTACGTTAAATAGCAAATGTGCCTAGTCTGGTCTTGGCCCATGCGCTCTAGCCAAAAGCTTTCAGATACAGCGCGGGTAGGCTCTGTGGGTAGGTTAGTCTACATGATGAGATTATTATATGATATAATATTTGTATTTGTCAAACGTCAGTCAAGCATCGATCATCATGTCACCAGAATAAGACACTCAACATTTAATGGAAAGGATCATCAAGCTCATACCGTGCACTTTCACCATTCTGTGAAGTTCATCATAACTTATTTCATCTGTAGCCTAATGAACTGCATAGTTTCCCGAGCCGTAGTGGGAGGAGCACACACGTCATCACGTGACTCCAAGTTTACTTTGAGATTATGATTATTATATCAATATTTGCGTATAATTCATTTTACGGACACAAAAAGATCCCACCATGTCGAACTAACAAATGATCTGTCGGCATTTCTAAAATTGTACCGAAACTTCCTGTTTCCATCACAGCTGTCGTGATTTTATTTTATACGGTATGACTTTGCTCCCATAAAAACTGTGAATGGAAATGTGGTTACTGTCAACAAAATGCTCTCTATCCTCTATCTTATTAAGCATGTTCAGGTGTGTTGGCTGCACCCAGTAATTGGTCACACCTGATCTTAATGAGTGCTTGATTCCTTTGAAATGGGCTCTGTCTGTTTGAATAGACAAAAATGAACAGCTTTGGCATGCTAGCTCCATCCTGGTGGTGCAGTGGACTAATTCCATGGATAGAGAATGGAAGATCATAGGTTTGAATCTCACTGATGCCATGCCACAACAAAAAAAATGGTGTTTGCATGATTAATGCCAAAGCAAATGAATTTACATGTGTCCTATCTGTGCTTGGAGTTCAAAACAGTTAAACTAAGCTAGTAGTATCATTAAAGTTAAAAGTCTTATTGAAACATGTTCTCAGAACGTTACTTAATTACTTTCAAATACCCTATAATTTCCTTTCTGAGAACGTTAATAAAACCTTCAGGGAACCATAGTGAAACATTCTCAGAACCTCCCTGCAACCTAACAATGTACGCACCCATAATTCACCAAATGATATTTTGAAGGAAGAAACAAAGTACTTTAAGCATATGTTTTCTTTTCAGTCGCCTCCATCTCCTCTAACTGAAGCTAATGGTAGAGATTTTTTTTTCTATTGATAATGTCAAATTAACAGCCACACAGAAAGACTCATGTGAAGGTGAAATTACAGAGGAGGAACTTCTGGATGCAATTAAAGACTTTAAGTCTGGGAAAACTCCAGGGTTGGATGGCATACCAGTCGAGGTATACCAAACCTTTTTTGATATACTAA